GTGCTTTCATTATCGAAACCATCCTCACGTGACTTGACTAATCGCGAGACAACTGTTGGCCCTTTGCTGTTCTGCCAATTGAATATTTTTCGTTAGACGTCAAGTTTTTACAGTTGCTAATTCCCTTCTCTGTTGCAGGTTGCAGCCTCCTGGTTCCATGACTGCGCTTTTAGTAGATTCCTGTAACCGATGTCGCACGTCCATGAGGCTTATTGGGTGCTGGCAAATCCTCAAACCAGTTCAGTCCCCTCTAATCTGTTGATGTCGCTGTTGGCAGGCGGTGCGTTCCGGACTCCTACACTGTACTCCCCCTCGCTGATCACCAAGACGCTCTTTGAGAAAGACGACGCCGCTGACGGTGCTGAGCAGTCCGTCGAGGACGGCGACGACAAGGAGGCGGGTGTCAACTGGACACGACGCCAACGGTTTGCAGCTACATCTGCCCGATGCTACACGGAAGGAGCCCGGAATTTACTCGCAGCTTCACTAGCAGCTCGACTAGCAGCAAGCAGTGTTGAACGTGGTGGTGGGCCGCCTGCTGCAGTTGTCCATCGGGAGGCGTGTCATGTTGGTCCTGGCGTACACAGAGCCAACGTGAAGAACTCGAATCAACCTCGAAAGACTTCTCTTCGGAAGAAGGCAACCTGCAGGGCTTACTCGTGCAGCGTGTGTGATGAGAAGTTTGTTACTAGCGCATGTCTAGAGAGGCACTTGGCTCGGCACATCGCCACCCATGAGAGACGATTTAAATGTAACATTTGCAAGAAGCGGTTTTCCAGTAAACCAACCCTTCTCAAACACAATAAAATTCACACTGGTGAGAAACCACATCAATGTGAACTTTGTGAGCAGCGTTTCAGCTTAAAACAGTACCTTATTACGCACATCGAAACGCACATTGTGTAGAGACTCTTTAGGTTGCATATAAGATAAAAACGGTTTATCGCGTGACGTAATATACTATAATCTTAATGACAGTTTTGTTCAGTAATTAATTCCAATTTATGTATATCATTAAATTTGATATTCCTAAAACGTGCCGCAAATTAAAAACGTTTTATCGCGTGACCTAATACTATAATCTTAATGACAGTTTTGTTCAGTACTAGTACTCATTAATTCTAATTTATGTATATCATTTAAATTTGATACTCCTTAAACGTGCAGCAAAATGTTAAATTTACATTATCGCATGATCATGTCCTAAAAAATATACCTTAAAGAAATGAACACGCTTATTCCTGATTTTCCCGGCATTCTGGCATTAAGTGCTTTTACATATCAGACGTCCATATCCTAACATTCGCTAATTTCCTTTTCTGTTGCAGGTTGCAGCCTCC